ATGCACAGGCAGAATTGGCGGCATCTCTGGGTTTGATGGGAAAGCCGGGCACGGATCTGGAAGGAGCGGGACCCCGGCACCGGACAGAGGGACGTCTGACTGGACTCAGATGAAGGTGAGATTCCAGATCCGGGAGTTCCTCTGAGCCTCCCATGGCAGTGGGAACGGCTGGCTCTCCAGTGTCTGAGAATCACCTTTCTTTACTCGAAAGCCTAGTGACAGGATGGGGCAGACGCCTAGCGCAGGCCTCTCACCCTCCCAAAGAAAACCCCAGCTGGCCATTGCCGCCCCTTGACCTGTAACTAGGGACAGGTTTCAGCATGCAGCAGGGGACGAAACCACTTATACGCCAAACAAACTGTGAGATCTTGCCATTTCACAGTTGCAGAAACCCAGGAAGTATGTATGGGAACGGTGCTAGTAAGTCAGGACAAAGACGAGAAATTTAACACCCGTTTGGTGGGACTGATTGCTCTGAGCGGTCTCACCAGTAATTGTCCGTTAACATTTTGCAAACGTAGCCGGCAGTGGCTCTAACCGCTCACTTGGTTGACTGCCCGAAGTGCAGGGCACTGCTGAGTCCGTGTTTAATAAGGCTGAGATGCCAGGCTTCTGTGGCACAGTGAACTATACAGAAGGAATCCACAGGCTAAGGGAGACAGGGGCACTGGCATGGATTTGTCACGTGCCACTTGCACATTCCATACCCAGAGGACACTCCTCCTGGAGCCCCTGAGGAACATACAGGTGAGGGACCCCTTCAATCGGAAAAGTGAACTTGTCACTGCAGCAGCTGTTCCCAATGTAGTATCTTGGGGGACCTACAGCCCCTGCCTGGGCACATACTCCTTTCTCTATACCAATCTACAAGGACCCCCAGACACAGTCTGCTTTACCTGGCAACAGGACACTTTCACCCACGTGTCTCAAGGCTGCAGCACCCCCGCTCTGTACCTTATTATGGTCTGCAGAGAAGCTGGCCATCTTCACACTGCACATTGCCACACTGGCCCATGCGCTGATGGCAGTGTGGGCTGGACTGGACAGGCAGGAAGTAGCAGAGCTCAAGGTGCCTCTGTGAGATATGTGCAGGGCACAGCGTGAGGGACAGACCCCAGAGAACCAGCGGTCTCACACCCCAGAATGGCCTGAAACACTGGAGACACCCCTCCAATGAGAGCTTCAAGTTGTCACTCCACACTCCACCTGCCACTACAACCACCAGGCAGGTGTTTTGGAGGCAACGTGCACCACATGTGTGTGTGCTACTCTGACACAGGTACTGAGTGACACTAAAAGCTGTTTTCAGAGAGGCCTGGGGCAAGATCAGGCATGTGGCAAGTCCAGGTTGCTCTTCTGTGTAGCCTTAGGATCCAGCAAGGTTGATATCAGGGATGCTGTAGGAAGCCTCCACCAAAAGGAAATTTACAGAGTAGACATTGAGGGTTTTGAGGGAAGATTAACTCCAAAACAACCATGTCTTCTCCTGCAGATGACTTTCGCTGGGAAACAGTTCTGGCTGATTGCGCCAGGCCGTTGCAGAGACTGAACAAGCTAGCCATGAGACGCAGAGACCATGCAACCTGAGCTCCCCATCGCAAACAAGGAACTACCAGGCCCTCCAGGCCGAATGCTGAGTGTGCACAGCAACCCTCTCTCGCCAGGCAGAGACGGGGCTTGCCCAGGCCTGTGAAGCACACGGACGCTGCATGGGTACATGATGCAGCTGCTCTGCCACTGGTGCCTCCCCTACCTCGATCCACACCCAGACTCGGGGGAGCTCCTCATGAGCCACTGACTGACGGAGAAAAAGCTGGGCTTGGTTTACAGGTGCTTCTCCTGCTGGGCTGGCCGCTGCTGGCACTGCAGAGTGTGGCTCTTGAGGACAGTGGGGATTACATCTCCCAGCAGGCAGACCTCCCAGCTGGACATCTGATTTCCACTTTATCAGGACTGAGATGGCCAGGACATATCTACACGGATCCCCAGGGTGATTCCAGTATTAAACCAGGGGAATCTCATGGAACCCAACCGCAGGGAGTCCAGTCGGCCTCTCAAGAGACTGAAGATGGAAACAGAAAAGCCAAGCCCTAGACTGCTCGTCCCCCCTCATTCTGGTGGCACACCCTCCCATTCTGCTCTCCTCTCGTGGGCTCTGTTCTACTCCTGTCTGCACACACTCTTTCAGCTTCCCTGCAAGTGGCTCGCCTTGGTCCCCAGAGCAGTTATGGCTCTGAGGATGTTGTACCCTCAGAGTAACGTGGTCATTTTGAGTACTGTTCTGCAGCTTACTTTTTTTTTTCCTAATAAATGAATATACTCTTGACAAACATTTTCTCCAGTATGCAGTATTCTGTTATATGCCTATGCAAGGATTTATTTAATCTCTTAGGTTGTTTTGGGTACGCGGCTATTTTCTGTTTGCTTTCTTAGCTCTTGAGGGTGTGTAAATAACTATTACTGCAGCCTGTGTCTAGAAAATACTCAAATCACCCCCTTGCAAATACATCTTTTACTCTGACTTAACCAATGCCAAACAACTTTCTCCCCCTATTTCCATGGTAATGCATCTCAGCTCCTCTCAAACTCAGAGCCTCACAGGATAAACGGCTTCCCGGAGACGATGCTCACAGCTCCTGTTAATTAGGGAAGTGATATTTACTGGATCGGTGATCTTGGACATCCATAAGGTATCGCATTTTTCATGTATTACTCATTCGATTTTCTTTAGGGTTTAGCCAAAATGAGTAATATGTGGAAAGCTGGGTAAAAGTCAAACCAGCTGTTACTTGTTACTGTCATTTTTTGAGAGTCTTGCTTTGTTGGAGTCTCACTCTGTCATCCAGGCTGGAGTGCCGTGGCACGATCTTGGCTCACTGCAGCCTCCACCTCCTGGGTTGAAGCGATCCTCTCGCCTCAGCCTCCTGAGTAGCTGGGACTACAGGTGCCTGCCACCACACCAAGCTAATAATTTTAATTTTTGTATTCTTAGTAGAGATGGGGTTTCACCATGTTGGCCAGGGTGATCTTGAACTCCTAACCTCAAGTGCTCTGCCCGCCTCGGCCTCCCAAAGTGCTGGGATTACAGGTGTGAGCCACTGTGCCCGGCCTACTGTCACTTATTTTTATGTTGGTAGAAATGCCGGTGGTCAGAAGATCTGGTATTTTACAAAGTAAACCTCCTGGGGGATGGGGGTGAGGCTGAAATAGGCTGAGCCAGTAGTTCCTTTATCTTGGGAATTCAGAACTTCTTGTTATTTTGTTATTGAAACACGTGGTCACAGTTCTCGAGACGGCATCTCTTAAAACGACTGCCTACCATTTTCCCTACTATAAGATTGTATTTGCATGCTTTCCTCTTTGTGTCAAATAATCAGAGAATCTTAGGGTTTTAAAAGTGGCTCTGAAGGTCACCTGGTCCAAAGTGAACTCAGCAAAGACAAAGGATATAAAGCCAATTTGCAAAAATCAATTGTATTTCCATATGTTAACAAGAAACAATTGGAAAATGAAATTAAACGAAAGCAACATCATTTTTGGTCATCCTGTAAGTCCTGGGTGGCAGGCACAGAATACACGTAAGGGGCTCCAAGAACCCGGGGAGCCCTCTGAGGATGCATGGCAGGTGTGGGGCGTGGGAGCAGAAGCAGGCCACACCTGGGGGTTCCTGGGGAGGTCTAAAGGGTCTGGTGGAGCAGGAAGAGTCTGGGAGGATCACCTAAGGCAGGGCTATGGGAGGGGTTGGACACGCTCCAGGGCACCTTTCAGCCGGAGCTCCCGAGGGCTCAGGCTGAGGCCGCCCTTGCAGGGCCCTGGCTGGGTGTCTTCCCCTGCCCTGCTCTTCCTCTGATCCCTTCATGCTTCCTCCTGGGAGTGCATCCTTCATAAACCACTTGCCCGTGAACTCTTGGTTTAGCATTTACTTCTGAGGAACTCGACTGAGGACAATCCTACTTGGAAAATATTTATATAGAAACAATACACTAAATGTATATGCACCGATATGTGGGTAGACACACATTTGATTACATGGAATGTAGTTTGATCACTGTATTGAGTGTAATATTTAGGACTTTTCGTATGTGATAAGTTACATTGACATAAAGTAAATTGCAACAAGCATAATTTTAATACCAAAATGTTAAGATTCAAATGTTCTGTGAAAAGAGATTGGTAAGGTTCTTCTCTCAAGAGTTTGCCCATTTTAGTGATTGTCTTCTTTTTCACCATTATTATTTCAAATTTATGTATCATATGTTCAACTAAATAACTAAGAAAGACCATGAGGATATACTGAGTGAGGCTATACAGTTTAATAATGAACAGCTTAAGTTCTAACACACATTAGACAGCCCTGTGTTCAAAACCCCATCTTGTACTAGCTCTGTGGATTAGATCCTTAAATTCCACAACAACAACTTGTGGACTAAGCTTGCTTTCTTTCGGGTTTTTTTTTTTTTTTTTTTTTTTGAGATGGAGTCTCGCTCTGTTGTCAGGCTGGAGTGCAGTGGCATAATCTTGGCTCATTGCAACCTCTGCCTCCCGGGTTCAAGCGATTCTCCTGCCTCAGGGTCCTGAGTAGCTGGGACTACAGGCATGCACCACCGCACCCGGTTAATTTTGTATTTTTAGTAGAGATGGGGTTTCATCACGTTAGCCAGGCTGGTCTCCAACTCCCGACCCTCAGGTAATCTGCCAGCCTTGGCCTCCCAAAGTGCTGGGATTACAGGCGTGAGCCATTGCACCTGGCCAAAGCTTTCTGACTTAAGTTCTTAAACTCTATAATTTGAGCTTCCCTGTCTTCAGGAAGAAAACAGTAATAGCACATTTCTTATAAGGTTGCCACAGATGTTAAGAATTCAGATAAAACCTCTGCACAGTGCCTGATAGTGCAAAGGACTCAATAAACGTTTGCTGGCATTGCTGGTTTTAAATGACTGCATAAAGCAGTAGCCATCCAAAAGTGAAACAAAAAATTCATGAAAACTGAGTACACTTACTTGTAATGTAGTATCAAAGACGACAAGCTTTGAACTGGTTGGAACGATGTCATAACACTTGTGTGACCTCATGAATCGCATGTAAACACCACTTTCTGAGTCTTCTGCTATAAGAAAAAAAGGCAAAACATCAGTAACAATAAAGAACACCCTCAATCGGATGAAGAGCATATACATAAACCTATCACTAACAGACTTCATGGTAAAATACGAAATGTTTTCCCAGTATGACTCAAGGGCCAGGCAAGGATGCTCACTCTCACTAATTCTATGAACACTGTACTGGAGGTCCCAGATGGGGCAATGAGGCAAGAGAAAAAAATGAAAGGCATACACGTTGAAAAGGAAAAAGCAAAACTGTCTTTACTTGCACACTGTATGATTTTCTATATAGGAAATACCAAAGAATCTAGAAAAAGTTCCTAGATTTAAAAATAATGAGTTTAGCAGGGTCACAGAATTAAATACGGGGTTAATAAAACAAAGACAAAGCTAATCGAATGGGGAAAAGTTGGAAGCTTTCCCTTCAAGATCTGGAACAAGGCCGGGTGCGGTGGCTCACACCTGTAATCCCAGAACTTTGGGAGGCTGAGGTGGAAGGGTCGCTTGAGCCCAGGAGTTCGAGACCAGCCTGGGTGGCATAGCAAGACCCAGTTTCCACAAAAATAATAAAATAAAATAAAAATAAAAATAAAGGGGGAAAAAAAAAGACCAGGAACAAGACAAGAATGCCCGCTCTTGCTACTCTGTTCAACGTAGTACTGGAAGTCCTTGTCAGAGCAGTCAGGCAAGGCAAAGAAATAAAAGGCATCCAAATATGGAAACAAGGAAGTTAAACTGTCCCTGTTTGCAGATGACATAATCTTATATATGGAAAACCCTAATGACTCCATCAAGAAACTGTCAAAACTAATAAATTTGGTAAAGTTACGAGATATAAACTCAACATAAAAAATCAGTAGCATTTCTATACACTAATAGACAACTATCTGAAATAGAAATTTTTAAAAATCCCATTTATAATAGCTACAAAAAACCAAAATACTCAGGATTTAATTTAACCCAGGAGGTGAAAGATCTCTACAGTGAAAACTATAAAACACTGATGAAAGAACTGACGCAGGCCAGGTGTGGTGGCACATGCCTGTAATCGTAGCACTTTGGGAGGCTGAGGTGGGCAGATCACCTGAAATCAGGAGTTTGAGACCAGCCTGGCCAACATGGAGAAACCCTGTCTCTACTAAAAATACAAAAATTAGCTGGGCATGGTGGCACGGGCCTGTAATCCCAGCTTCTCAGGAGGCTGAGGCACGAGAATTGCTTGAATCTGGGAGGCAGAGGTTGTAGTGAGCTGAGATTGCGGCACTGTACTCCAACTTGGGTTACAAAGTGAGACTGTCAAAAGATAAAGGAAGAATTGAAGAAGACACAAATAAATGGGAAGATATCTTGTGTTCATGGATTGGAAGAATATTGTTAAAATGACCATACTACCCACTATGATCTACAGATTCAACACAATGCCTATCAAAATACCAATTCTTCTCAGGACACGAAAAAAAAAATCCTAATATTTGTATAGAACCACAAAAGACCCCAAATAGCCAAAAGAATTTTGAGCAAAAAGAACAAAGGTGAAGATATCACACTACCTGACTTCGAAATATACTACAAAGCTACAATAACCAAAACAGCATGATGCTGGCATAAAAACAGACACACAGACAAAGAGAATCAGAAAGCCCAGAAATAAATCCACACATTACAGTCAAATGATTTTTGACAAAGGTTCCAAGAATACATGCTGGGCAAAGCGTGGTCTCTTCCATAAATGGTGCTGGGAAACTTAGATATCCACATGCAGAAAAATGAAGCTGGACTCCTGTCTCTCATCAGATACAAAAATCAACGGAAAATAGATTAAAGATTGAAAAATCTATGACCCAAACTATGAAACTACTAGAAGAAAACAGGGGAAATGCTTCATGACTTTGGTCTGGGCAAATATTTTATGGATAAAACTTCAAAAGCACATGGAACAAAAGCAAAAATGAACAAATGGGATTATATCAAACTAAAAAGCTTCTATCCTGCAAAGGAAATAATCAACAGAGTGAAGAGACAACCTACAGAATGAGAGAAGATATTGGCAAACTATACATCTGATGAAGAGTTAATATCCAAAATAGATTAGGAATTCAAACAACTCAACAGCAGGAAAACAACAACAACAAAAAAACAAATAATCTGATTAAAAAATGGGCAAAAGAACTGAATACACATTTCTCAAAGAAGATATAGAAATGGTCAATGGGTATATGAAAAAATGTCCACCATCGCTAGTCACTGGAGAAATGCAAATCAAAACCACAATGAGATATCACCTCACTCCAGTTAGAATGGCTATAATAAACAAAACAAACAAAAGATGAGTGTTGCTGAGGATATGGAGAAAAGGAAGCCCCCCTCCACTTTTTTTTGAACTATTGGTGGGAATGAAATATAAATTAGTATAGCTATTATAGAAAACAGTACAGAGGTTCCTCAAAAAAATAAAAATAGAATTACCCCATGATCCAGCAATCCCACTACTGGGCATACCCAAAGGAAATGAAATCAGAGTGTTAATGACACATCTGCACTGCCATGTTGAGTGCAGCACTATTCACAATAGTCAAGACATGGAATCCACCTGTGTCGCCAAAAGATGAACGGATAAAGAAATGTGGTACCCACGCACAACAGAGTACTATTCAGCTATAAAAAAGAATGAAATCCTGACATCTGTGACCACAGGATGAACCTAGAGGACACTGTGCTACATGAAATAAACCAGGCATGGAAAGGCAAATACCATCTCATTCATCTGTGGAATCTAAACAAGTTGATCTCACAGGAGTAGAAAGTAGAGAGTGGTTACCAGAGGCTGGGGAGGGAACAGGGTGGTGGTATAAGAGGTTGGTCAGTTACAGTCAGACAGGAGGAATGCATTCTGGTGTTCTATTGCACAGTGTGGTGACTATAGTTAACAATAACGTATTGTATATTTCAAAATAGCTAGAAGGGAGGATTTTGAATGTTCCTGCCACAAATGATACATGTTTTAGGTGACAGATACACTAATTATCCTGATTTTATCAGTACACAATATATACATATATTAAAACATCAAACTGTATCCCATAAATATGTACAACTATGTGTCAACAAAAAATTTAAAAAAATGAAAAAAGTACAATAAAGCAAATGCAAATAGAAAAAAAGGCTACTATATTTGTATCTACTAACTCATTGTTAGCAGACAGAAATTTAAAAAAATTTTAAAGGTATTAATTACATAAATGCTGTATGGAAACACGGACCTACACAGGGAACACAGAGCACTGAAAATGGTAACGATGTGGACAAACATATAAATGCTTTCAAAAATTATTTAAATCTCTCTAAAAGTTAATTGGCAATTTATTTTTTATTTTTATTTTTTTTAAGATGGAGTTTAGCTCTTGTCACCTAAGCTGGAGTGCAGTGGCTCAATCTTGGCTGACTGCAACCTTCGCCTCCAAGGTTCAAGCGATTCTCCTGCCTCAGCCTCCTGAGTAGCTGGGATTACAGGTGCGTGCCACCATGCCTGGCTAATATTTGTATTTTTAGTAGAGATGGGGTTTCACCGTGTTGGCCAGGCTGGTCTTGAACTCCTGACCTCAGGTGGTCTGTATGGCTCGGCCTCCCAAAGTGCTGGGATTACAGGCTTGAGGCATCGCACCTGGCCCTAACAGACAATTTAAACAAAAATAATGACAGTGTATTGTGGGGTTGATAGCACGCTGATAAGGAAAAGGCAACACTGTCCAACCGATCATGGAAATGTAGGAGTCATCCTTGCCATTGTCCTCTTGTCACCCTAACCAATTTATCACGATCCCTTGATTTTGCACCCCAGATCCCTCCAATCCACTCATTTCTCTGCCTCCATGGCCACCCCCCTAGATATCCTAACTTCCTCATCAATCCTTCTGCCCCCGTATCTTCACAGCTGTCCACACTGCATCCAGGAAGATTTTGCCAGATGCAAATATAATCTAATCCAGCTGCTTTAGAATAAAGGCAAAACCCCTGAAGTCACCTACAACAGCAGTCCTTAGAACTGGTTTTGTGGAAGACAATTTTTCCACCGGGGTTGGTAGTGGGTGGTTTCAGGATGAAACTGTTCCACCTCAGATCATCAGGCACCAGATTCTCATCAGGAGCACACAACCTAGATCCCTCATGGGAACAGTTCGCAACCGGGTTTAGGCTCCTATGAGACACTAAAGCTGTCCCTGATCTGAGAGGATGCACAGCTCAGGCCATAATGCTGGCTCACCCACCCCTCGCCTCCGGCTGTGCAGCCCATTTCCTAACAGGCCAGGGAAGAGTACTGGTTCACGGCCCCAGGATTGGGGACCCCTGACCTATAAGACCTGGGAGGCCTGGCCCCCCCAACCTCCCTGCCTCTTGTACTAAACACTACCGCTTTGTATTTTCTCCAACCCCTATTTTTTTTTCTAGTCCTCCTCCTCTGCTGTCTCTTCCACAAGGCCTGACACTACTGCATCCATCCTCTGTCTGAAATACTTTCTCCATCTCTTTGTGGCCCAGTGAACTCCTTCATTAGACCTTGGCCCAAGGATATGACTGGTGAGTCATGGAACCTGAATTTGAACTTGAAGCCTCTGGATTCCAAAGCTATGTTCTTAGCCAAGCTGATCCCCCTCCTTCCCTTGGCCTGCCACGACCGCTTTCCCTGTTCTGCCGAAATCCTTCCCTATCTTCACGGGTCAGTTCAAATTACACCATCTGCAAGAGACATCTTTGACAGCTCCATTCAGCCCACACCGATCTGTGCATTTTAGGAAGATCTGAACTACTTGGGAAATATCTGAGAAGAAAAAATTGTAGTGTATGAGCTAATTAGCAAAACAAGTGCTAAACAAGTGATACTACCCAAGCTCCTTGGCTGTGGAAAGGAGCCCTACAATTCTGTGTATTTCCTACTGTGGACATCCATGCAGCTGGTTTGCCAATTTCATGACAAATGATGTGGACCACTCCCAAGTCTATTTTCATT